TACTCTCGTTGCCAGTTTTGTGGATGATAACGTTTTTGACATTATGCACTCTAACACTTCGCCCTCCGTGGCTCTACCAATGACAAAAGTTCTCTTGCAAACTACCAAGGACTTTTGGACTCGTCCAGCCTCCATTAATGTCTCTAATAAGCGTCTGGATCACATGTACAAGGTCCAGGAATCAGGGGCTGAGTTTTTATACACACATCCTAAGCCCAATTCTTTGGTCGTTTCCTCGTCCACGAAAGGAAAAGCGAGCCACTCTACTCCATCAGACAAAGAAGGAAAAAAGTTGGATTCGGTTGGTAGAAAATTCTACACTGTCGGTGCAATGGGCATTAAAACGGCGAACTATGCCGCCTGCATGGGCCGTTATCAATTCAATTTATGGAAGCGTTTGAATGATTTCCTCCCGCACGTGCCCAAAGAGTGCCAACCTCAGATTAAAAGGATTCAGAATGAAGGGATGGTCTTGGCTAGACACCAAATTAGTGCTGCCAAGCATTCCCTGGAATCCGCTAGTAAGACTCTAGCAACCTCTGTAGCGTTACGCAGACATGCCTGGCTCCGCTCTTCATCATTGCCATATGACACCAGATCCTCGGTGGAAGACCTTCCCTTTGAAGGTTCTGGATTGTTTAGCTCCACCACTGACACGGTTCTGCAGGAAATGGATAAGAGTATCAAGACGTCCAAGAGTTTGGGGATCTCCCCCACGACCAAATACTCGAAATCCAAGCAGTGGCCTAGGCAACCTTGGTCGACCAGGCAACCGTACAACAAATCACCTACGGATCAATGGCAAAGACCTCCCTCTCAGTCACGGTCTTTTCCCCCGAAAAATAAGGGACAATCGTCCGGTGCCTATAAGTCGAAATTCCCTAAGAATCCCAAACAGGGACTTTGACTTCAACCTTACTGCTCAGACTCGCCTTGCACCCTTCCTGCACGCATGGCTCGCCATTTCTACGGACAAATGGGTGCACTCTATAATAAGAGATGGCTATCTCATAGAGTTTTCTCTGACTCCCAAAATCTCCCGTTTTATCAGAACCCCGGCGTCTCCTGCCCTGCTACAGGAGGTACAATCGCTGACACAAAAAAACGCTATAGAGAAAGTCCCGATGGCGGATTGTTGCCGCGGGATTTATTCCAAATATTTCACGGTCCCCAAGAAGGACGGAGGACTTCGTCCAATCATGGACCTTCGTTTTCTCAATCGGTTCATCATTTACAGAAAGTTTCGCATGACCACGTTGCAAAGCATTTTACCACTCCTGTCTCCAGGGACTTGGATGGTCACTTTAGATCTCAAAGACGCTTATTTTCACGTCTCCATCCATCCTCGTCACAGAAAGTTCCTCAGATTCGCAGTCGGGGAGGACCATTACCAATTCAAAGCCCTTCCATTCGGGCTCTCTACCGCCCCCAGGGTTTTTACGAAGGTAATGGTGGTTGTCGTCGCTCATCTTCGCCTTCAGGGCATTCAGATCTTTCCGTATATAGACGACTGGTTGATGGTGGCAGATTCAAGAGAATGTCTCCTTCAGCACATCACCATCACATTGTCGGTCCTATCCTCCCTTGGAATTCTGGTGAATTTACAGAAATCCATGCTGCAACCTGCAACTCGCGTGCAGTTCATAGGAGCTGTCATAGACTCCCTAGCCACTCGGGCGTACCTTCCTCGCCAACGGGCAGATACCATTCGTCTGGAAATTCAACGTTTGTTCCAGTCCAACGTGACATCAGCGGTCCACATTCAGCGGATCTTGGGTCTCATGGCAGCCACCACTTCCGTGATCGAATATGCACGCCTTCGCATGCGCCCGTTGCAGCTGTGGTTTCTAAAGAAATTTCGCCCTTCCATCCATCCTCCGAGCCTTCAACTGGTAGTGCCTCCGCAGGTCCTCGTCTCCCTGCAGTGGTGGCTCGTGGACACCAATCTGTTGGCGGGTGCACCGTTCCAACCGATCGTTCCCGTAATGTCCATCACCACAGATGCCTCCCTGTGGGGTTGGGGTGCTCATACAGACGACACTTGTGTGGGTGCTCCATGGCAACCCCTTTGGAAGAGTCATCATATCAACTATCTGGAACTGCTGGCCGTAAAATTTGCCCTCAGATCCTTACTCAGACAGGTTGTAGGAAAAGCTGTGTTGATTTTTACGGACAACACAACTGCGATGGCTTATATCAATCGCCAGGGCGGGACCGTGTCCAGGTCCCTTTGCAGGCTAGCTATGGACATATGGGAAGAGTGCCTTCATTGGAACATCACTCTCCAAGCTGCCCATCTGCCAGGAACTTTGAACCAACAAGCGGATTTCCTGAGCAGAGGGGGAGCATCGGACCACGAATGGGAGTTGAACTCAAAGTATCTCCTTCCTCTTTTTCAACATCTGGGACATCCCCACATCGATGTTTTTGCAACTCGATTGAACAAGAAGTGTCCCAGGTTTTGCTCCAGAGCGGGGTTGGACCCTCTGTCAATGGGGGACGGTCTGTTGATGTCGTGGGCTCACGACTTTCTATACCTATTTCCTCCGATTCCGCTGCTCCACAGGGTGCTTGTGAAAATACAACAGGACAAGCCCCATTGTCTCCTGGTAGCCCCCTGGTGGCCTCGGCAGGTGTGGTTTCCGACACTGCTGCGGTTAGCCAAGGGATCCTTCGTACACTTCCCGCAGGAGTTGGATCTCCTCCAAGCTCAGGAAGGCCAGGTCCTTCACTACGATCCTCTGAGTCTCAAGTTGACTCTATGGGAAATACGCTTTCAGTGATGGATGACCGTATCAATGAGGTCCTGTTGAATTGTCGTAAACTGTCTACTAGGACGTCTTACGCAAAGAAGTGGGATTTATTCCTACAGTACTTGAGTTCTTCCAATTTACCTCCTCCGCCAGTGGATTTGAGGTCTATTTTTGCGTTTATTTTGTCCAGAATGGACTTGGGACTCAGTTTTTCTTCAGTTAAGGTGTATTTAGCTGCGGTGTCAGCTTTTCATCCATCTATTGATGGGTTTTCAGTTTTCTCGCATCCTCAGACGAAACAGTTTTGTAAAGGTCTTATTCGCCTGTACCCTCCCCGTCGTTCTCCGACTCCGGCCTGGGATTTGGCTTTAGTTTTGCGGTTTTTGATGGGAAAACCCTTCGAACCACTGGCCACTTGCTCTCTAAAGTTGTTATCGCTCAAGACTGCGTTTCTGGTGGCCATTACTTCTGCTCGTCGAGTCAGTGAGTTGTCTGCTTTAAGGTGTGATCCACCATACTTGATTTTTTCCCCTCATGGGGTGTCGTTGTCTTTGGACATCTCCTTCTTACCGAAAGTCGTTTCGGAGTTTCATCTACGTTCAGATATAGTTTTGCCGTCATTTTTCCCGTCTCCTGCCAATGAAGAGGAACGGAAATTGCACTCTCTGGATGTTAAGAGGGCGTTGCTGTTCTATTTGGGCAGGACCAAGTCTTTTCGTCAGTCTCCAGCCTTGTTTGTTGCTCACAGTATGCCCTCTCTGGGGAAGAAGATCTCTTCCCAGACGCTGTCCAGGTGGATTGTGGAAGTAATCAAGCTATGTTACGCTTTGGCTAAGAGACCTCTTCCAGGTCAACTTCGCGCCCACTCTACAAGGGCGGTGGCGGCTTCCACAGCTTTCCTGAGAGGGATGCCATTGGAGGACATCTGCAACGCTGCGACTTGGGCTACTCCGCTCACCTTCGTGAAGCATTATGCCCTTGATGTCCGGTCTACTCGTCGTGTGGCGTTGGGTCGGTCTATTTTGCAGACGGCGCAGGTGTAGGGCCTCGGCCCCTCCTCCAGGTAAGAGTTATTGCTTGCTATTCTCCCAAGGGTGTGATGCACAGAGACCACGAAGAAGATAGACAGGTTGCTTACCTGTAACTGGTGATCTTCGAGTGGTCATCTGTGCATTCACACCACCCGCCCTCCTTCCCCTCTGCTCTCGGCCCTTCATCTTGTTTCTTTGAAGGCTGTTGGGCGGCGGTCAGAAGGAACTGGCGGGATCTGCGTGCCCCTCCTTGGTCATGCGCAGTGGAGCCGGCGCGTGACCTGGGAGAGGCGCGAAAATCCCTTTTGCTAGCTACCGGTACCGAGAAGGTCAGCGCAGGCGCAGTATATCCCAAAGGTGTGAATGCACAGATGACCACTCGAAGATCACCAGTTACAGGTAAGCAACCTGTCTTTCTTATGTTCTTATGTGATTTCCTGTTTTTCCCTTCTGTAACTTGCTGAAAGACTCTATTTAACCCAGGGCAAACTGTGCAGCTCTGTTTTGGAAGTGCCCCCGGTGGTGCTTCTAGCTGTACCTGCGCGCATAATAAATATTCAGTTGACTCTTCTTTTGACTCTTGGTGGTCTCCTTCCAGAATTCCTGCTTCATTCCCTTAATATTACAAGATGAATAAGGCGGGGTGTGGTAAGCAACCAACAATTGCATTTGTTTCTTAGATTTATCTCCCTTTTGACTGCAAGGTCCTCAAAGCAGGTCACAGCTTTTTTTTTTAAACCCACATTACTACCTTCTAAGAAGGAATCCACATTTCTTCACTTTTATTCATTTTCCAAACAGAGTGTACTCTTTATATAGTTGAAATTAGGGCCCTTAAGCATGCTTAACTCATACTGGACTGCAGCCTTTGTTTATAGAACATTACATATATGTAGCTAATATATTAATTTGTGCCAGACATTTAAACAGAAGACCCACGTATCAAGACCTTAAAAATTACAGATAAACCTCACATGCGGACTCTTAGTAAGACTAAATGGACTAAATCTGAAGAAGTGAGCAGTGACTCATGAAAGCTCCTACCCTGCTGCATACTTTGTTAGTGTTTAAGGTGCTACTGGACCCTTGGTCTTTCCTTAGTCCTCTGTGATGATTTGATATCTTAATGCTGAAAAGAGGTTTGTGGTTTTTAAGGCTGCACTCTGTTCTTATGCCCTCTGACGTTCAAGGGTGACTGGCTTTATCTTTCTGACAGGAGTTGCAGCCCTGGCCGCCTCCTGCCCTTATTTGCGCGAAGCCTCTTTTAAACGATGCAGCAACCTTACAGACAATGGAGTCCTTGCCCTAGCACTCAATTGCCGGCTTCTCCAAATCGTAAACATTGGCTGGTGCTCCAGCATCACAGACACAGCACTGCACGCCCTTGGACAGAACTGCCGGCATCTTCACAGCGTGGATTTCTCATCTACCCAGGTAAGCAGCTGGCATAAACAATTAAGAAAACTGGGTCTGAGGAGTAACTTTTTAAATGAATTTAATTGTTTCTCATGTTTTGGGGTTTGATAAGTAAAGGCATCTGGGATTATAACAGCTGTCTGCATTGTCTGTTGATAAAAGAGATTCATCTCCTCCTGGGCTTTTTTGCTTGACCCTTTTCTTAGTTCAAAGTGGGTAGCCATGTTGGTCTGAATTAATAGTACAAAAGCTAGAGTCCTCTGGCACCCTTGAGACCAACTAAGTTTTATTCAAAGTGTGAGCTTTCATGTAGCTTGTTGTTAAATTAGCATGCAAAATAGTGAAGTGTTTTTTAACAAATAAAAAGAATGACAAGCTCGGTTTCTGGTATCATCTGTTTGGGGGTGGGGAACAAAATAGGTAATAAATATGTCAGAACTGGAGACTGATGTACCCTAAATTGTCAGAATTCAGTCATTAGATCCCGTCCATCTCCTTTCTAGCATGGAAGCAAACTTTAAAGCATCTTGGCTGCAGTACTCCCTCTAAGCTGTGGAGTCCTGAGAGCAAAAATTCTACTTTCTGAGCTACGGGCATTAAAGCTGTGAGCAGGTGACTTGGCTACTGCATCAATTAGTTCGCTCTGGAGCCATCCCTTCCTGAGCTAAGACAAAATTGTGTAGCTGGAGGCTAAAAAACTGTGAGCTGGCTCACACTAACTCAGCTTAGAGGGAACACTGCTTGGCTGTGTAGAGTATTTTTCTTGTCCCCAGAATAGAGAATTACATTTAAATCTGCCATTCCAAATAACATTACAGATTCAATTATATCCTTCACTGTTAAGAGTAGTAAACTGGAATTTTTTTAAAGTAACATTTTACTTCACTAAAACATGGAGTTAACCAACAGAATCCTTTTCCTGGGGTGCAGTGTTATGTCAGAGATCAACAAAATATTGCATTGCATTACAATCGTTATTATAACATACTATTTTTTTTTTAAAAAAACCCATTAAAATCTAGGGGATGGGCACTATCAGAGGATGGTTCTGATATTTCCAGGGCCTGACATGGAAGGCGGTGTGCTTTGGCCAGTGTTTTGTTTGCTCTGCAGATAAAATAATAGGGCAAAGTGACATTAAGCTGACTTCTTCTTTTCCACAAGAACACTGCAGAAGCCAGTGTCCGTACTCTGTGCTCAGCACCATCTTGTTCGATGGAGAATGAGCAGTCTATGTTTTGGGTTTTTTGAATATTTGATAAGGTTATTGGACTATGTAATAGATGTACACAGCAAAGTTTGGAAAATTGTACGTTTGGGTCTATACTGGGAGTTCGGTGATTATTGGCAAGTTGCAGACGTTTTCTGACAAGCGGCAAATTTTAGGCTGCACACATTATATATCACTCACTGGAGAAGACCCTGATGCTGGGAAAGATTGAAGGTCAAAGAAGACGGGGACGGCAGAGGATGAGATGGTTGGACAGTGTCATGGATGCAACGAACATGAAATTGAGCGGGCTTCAGAGGACGGCGGAAGACAGGAGGGCCTGGCGTAATCTTGTCCATGGGGTCGCGAAGAGTCAGACTCGACTGTGCGACTGAACAACAAACATTATAACCTTAGTAGAAACCCAGGTGACTGTGTGTTTGTGTACTGTTGCCATGCAGATTTGTACTGTTTCTGTATGTTGCCAACTACTGTACTCTTAAAACTGCTGTAAAATGATAAGCGGACTCTAAGTAGGGTGCTTTTCAGTATGGCTGTCTTCTGGCTTGCCAGTTCACCCCCCATTTTTTTTACTTCTGTATAATTTATTTTTGTCTTGCACCTTTCAGGCTTATGCTTTTTCAGTAATTCAGTAATCCAGACACAAGGGTACAGAGTAGGATTGTCAACCTCCAGGTGGTGGCTGGAGATCTCTTAGGATTACAACTGATCTCCGAGCAACAGAGATCAGTTCACCTGGAGAAAAATGGCCCCTTTGGAAGGTGGACTCCATGGCATTACACCCCACTGAAGGCCCTCCCTCCCTAAATCCCGCCCACCTCTGGCTCCACCCTCAGCCCCAGGCTGGCAACTCCAGCACAGAGGCATGGATCAGCATGGCTTGACAGGCTGAGTTTAAGAAAGGAGGGAGTTGGCAGACCAGCTGCAATTGATGGAATGCCACTACAGAAACCTGCTCTTCAAACTGCAGGACCGGGTCCATGGGCACCCCAACAACTGATGGGAGAAGCCGGTATACACACCCACAATGATTCTTTCAGTTTCTGAGAATTACTTTTTCTCTTGGTTGTAAACCTAAGGCTTGGAGATGGTAAATAGTGTTTTGGGATAAGGGCTTCAGGGGGTGGCCATGTTGGTCTGCGGGAGAACAGCTAGATCTGAGTCTGGTAACATCTCAGAGCCCACCTAAGCTGTTGGAATAAGAAGACTCCTAATTATTATAAAAGCATAGAAGAATGGTTAGGAGAGGATTGAGTATGTACAAAAACAAAGATATGTAGAATTGAAAAAAAGCTTTTCATTAATCACCTAGTAAGATCATAGGGATGCAGATTGTTCCACCTGTGTAATTTACATGAGCCACCATGGCAACCTTAGCCCATCTGTCATGGGAGGGAATTCCAGTAAGTGCCTGGTAAACCTCTACTTTTCATTGCCTTTCTGGGACTACAAAAAGGACAGGCTGTATTTGTCAGGAATCACATAACTGGCTTCCTTGTCTCCAGTTCTGTCTCAGGTTTGAAAAGCATGATTCCAAATGGACGCATGCAGCCTGATCGCTGCTTGGCCATAAATCCTTTTTATTTCAAGAAGTTTAATCCCAACTGTGCACAGGATATCTTCCTTAGTACTGGATCCTAAAACAGTCCTAAAGCACTCAATGAAATTGCTGAGCAGTCGGGTTAGAACAGATAAAAGGAAGTACTTCTTCACCCAAAGAGTGATTAACACATGGAATTCACTGCCACAGGAGGTGGTGGCGGCTACAAGCATGGACGGCTTCAAAAGGGAATTAGATAAGCATATGGAGCAGAGGTCCATATTAGTCACAAGGTATAGATAGGGGCTCTGGGGCAAGTGATGCTCTGTCTTCTTGGTGCTTGGGGGGGGGGTAAACAGTGGGAGGGCTTCTAGTGTCCTGGGCCCACTGGTGGACCTCCTGATGGCACCTGGTACTTTTGGCCACTGTGTGACAGAGTGTTGGACTGGATGGGCCTTTGGCCTGATCCAACATTGGCTTCTCTTATGTTCTTAGTAGAGTGTTAGTCGAATTGCCTTATTTTATTAATAAGCTTGAGGGAATTATAATGTTAAAAGGTTATATATATAGCAGGGCCATAACCTGTGTATACCAGAGTCAGAATTCCCAGAGCCTGTGAACAGATGAGGAGACCAGGTCGCTGTGAGAATTGAACTTTTACTTAAGAATTATCAAGCATACAATTGTAATTAGCACACACACACACACAATCAATACAGAACTAGGAAATTAGGTATGAAAAGACAGTGACTTTTGCACTAGCAGGAGTATCATTGGTAGGTGATATGTTACCTGTCTGGCGAGATGAGTAGACTTGCAGTGAAAAATGAAGATAAAAGGGGGAAAAGGAAAGGGTCGTAGTCCCAAACTGACCAGGGATGAAACCTACAGGTGGGTCGGGGTAAGAGCAAGAGGGCAAAAGCAAGAGTGAACTGAGACTCAGTTTCCCCTTAAGTTGCCAATTTTGACCTGAGGCAAGAGCCAGGTGGTCACAGGTTTAGGGGGGAAAACACAATACCTTGGATGGATGAGACAAAAGAAACAATAGTTGGACAATTTAGGGTTTATGTGCAACAGGGAGTGACAACTCTTGGGGAAGGGGTAAGACGGGGAAGGGGGTACAATCACTTTAATAGTCTGGTGCTTGTCAGGAGTGGTCTCTGGTTCGGTGACAGGAAGGCTTAATTGCTTCTTTTGTTTCTGGCTGGGCTACAGTCTTTATTTAAGGACTAGGGAGCAAAGCCCATTGTGGATGAAGACAATGGGCCCTAGAAAGGTAGGGTGGGTGGGTGGTAGATAGGTAGGTAGATGGATAGATAGAGGGGTTTGGCAGAAGGAAGGAAGGAAGGAAAGAAAGAAGGAAGGAAGATGGGTGGGAGACATAGACAGACAGTCAGTAAGCCAGACAGATGGGGGGGGGGAGAAGTCAAAGCGATGGGGATGAAGGGAGAAAGTGAGAGAGGGAAAGAATGAAGGGAAATAGGGAAAAAGAAAGAGAGTGAGGAAGGGGGGTAGTGGGGAAAAAGGGGCGGTGGGGGTAGTCTCAGCGCCAGTACCGCCCCTCGCCTGCTGCCCCCGGAAACCTGGCAAAGGTGGGGGGGCAGCGAAAATTAACGGGGTGGCGGGTGTTGGCTGAGCGCCGCCATTGCTGCCCCTCGCCTGCTGGCCCCAAA